TGCTTGTCGTGTATAATCAGGCTGTGATGGCATTATCATGTGTGCAACCGATACGAAACGATTGTTCGACGAAAATATTTGCTCGAATTTCCTAAAGTTAAACTTACAAAACGCTAATCACACTTCGCGTACACTAAGATATAGCTAGTTATTTGAAGCTATGCTATAGTTGCTGCTTATAATAAACCAATAAAACGGTTTATTGAGAAAACAACACTACAAACAGATACGAAGCAGTCAACTCAACGTAAGGTGGTACGCAGTGTGAGCAACAGACGTGTGTACGTTTAGTTCCCGCTGTCGGTAAGGTAGCCAGTCCGAATGATAGTCGACTGATCGATAGACATGCACACAACGCGTATAGAACAGTCGATTACGCATCATGCGGACGTATCAACCTAGTCATGGTCGCAACAACTGACCTTATGTTTGTGTCCCTCGGTGGTCATGGATATCGGTTTGTAGATCACCTCGTACGTGCCTGTATCCTGTGCTTCGACCTCAAGCATTTGTGCGCCGGTCCATTCGGCTCCCTCAATGATCGGTCTCAGTTGCCACCGTGCATTAGTACGGTTGACGATTTGCAGATTGCGGACATCCTGTTGACGAACTGCAGCACAGAAGCTGATGACATCCTTGATCAGAGTGGGAGGTACGCACATGCCCGTAATGGTGATATGTTTATTTTCGTAGTCTTGAAGGTGGCATGTCACATTCTGATCGGTGTATAAATGGAACGTAAAAAGACAAGAACATGAAATATTGACGTAATTGTCGATCCCTGTGAAAATTTGGTATTACTTTGCAACAAACAAAACAGTTTCATGGGAGAGTATGTCTTTAATGATGTGCTCACTGGTACCGTTCAGTAGGACGAGAACGCTTCAAGGCACTACTACCAACTATAGTCGAAATCTACAAGTAAAAATGCGTTTCTGAGATGTCTGTCCTCAACTTCATGAAGGACGAAACCGCTCGTTATAGGATAGCAAACGACATTGGAATCGATCAAGAGACGCAATAATTGTTGAAAGCAAACACAAAAATAATAGTTGATTTTCCAGTCTTTCGGTTATCGGGACGTAACAAACGACTAACACATCAACTCTCAATCGAGGTAAACTTCAAATCCACTCAGCCAATAAGAGTAACTGTTTGAGAGTCCTGACTACCTATCAACCTTCTTCTTTTCGATAACTGGTAACATAGGCCGATGTTAGGTTACCTACCATCTGCGTTAGTACAATTGAGAATTGTGTCACACATTTGTATCAATCGGTGCAAGCCTATGCTCTGTGTAGAGTGATTGTCGTGTTCCACTTACTGTGGATAATCAGGCTATCGCCTAAAGAACTATAGATAGTCTGGCTTGGTTCACCGTATGCCGATAAACAAAATCTGTTTCCAAAGAGTCAGAGAGACGCAATACAACAGCAGGATACTTCAGCTTTTTCTGTGTTGACCAACATTTCATGTAACAAGTAGAGTTACATCCATGATTTAACACCCAATCTTGCACAATAACCAAATACATGTCTCAGGCTGACAGTGATCAATGAGGCTGTCTACTCCTAGCTAATCCAAATGGGAAAATGCAAACACAAGCGTTGGTAAAAACAAAAGTTCCCATAATCACTTAAAACATAAAGCGAAGTCTGTTGTTGTAAACTAGTGACAGTTTGCTAGCTCACGACCTCTTGATAGTTTAATATTCAGAAGGTGAGGGGAAGTTCATAGACTTTTATCTCTGAGTTGTAATGGTACGATACATCCTCATGTAGCAAATTATGCAACATATTGGTCATTCCAGACGGATTTTACAAGTTCATAGATTACTTAGGGTTGATACCAACTTAGTGAGTCGTAGTGTTTTAATTCCTTAAGAAGGCTTGATGACAACTAGAAGTATGGGAGTCACATGCCATAGCACTGTTTGTTGGGCGCAATGATAAGGGGTGTGTGTCATCATCATCATAGACAGCAATACATCAGTGGTCCACACTGATGTATTAACTGCCACACAACCACAAAGAAGAAGAAGCAAACTCTGTTTAAGAAGAGAGAACAAAAAAGGGAAAGGGGAGGGGACCTAACCACTAAAAAATAGCTGCGTCTACATTCAAGCATACAACATCAAGGCGCCTACACCTTGCAAGCAAACAACCAAGCTATAAGTGAAAGTAGGGCGTCATCAGCAAGACAGCTTCCTTACGGCTTTCACTGCCCCGCGTCATTAAGTACACTCACTTCACAGACAACTCGACCAAACAACGAGAACATTCACGCCACTGAGCTCGGTTAGCCGCCATTTCACCTAACGTATCAAGCCATCGATTCTGTGAATCGCGAGGGCTCCAGCCCGGAAGACGAACCCGATCTACAGTAGCCAACCCCTTCGTGAACGATTTCATTTGTCTACGCCAGGTCATCATCTGTCCACCTCGCACCTTACGCTAATCAACCGCAGCATCGGCAAACAGTGCTCAGTGTGGCAGACGACTAGCTGGCATCCTTAGTACATGACTTAACCGCCTAAGTCTTTACAAGTGTAAGGACTGAACGAAAGAACTCGTTGGACAATCAGTGCTAAACATCCGCTTCCTAACCTCTTCGTTGCTTACTCGTTGGTGCCACCCGATACGAGCGATTGAATGCAGACATCCGTGGTCAAACACCTGAAGACGGTGCACATCTTCTACCCTGAGGGGCCATGTTTCACTGCCGTAAAGTAATACAGCCCTCACTGTTGTCTGATATACGCGATCCTTAAGCTTCAGGGAGATACCTTTATGTTGCCATAAGTGCCTCAGATTAGTAAACACTGCTACAGCCTTGGAAATAGGCCCCTCTATTTCATTTTCTACACCTCTGCCACCGCCGCTGATGCAGCTTCTCAGGTATACAAACCGGTCAACAACTTCCATGATTTCATTATCTAACATTAAACCAACGTGATCACAGCAATCTTGCAGAAGCACCTTGCATTTCGAGGCTGCAAAGCGCATTCCGAAGTACTTAGCAGAACGTGAAATTGCATTTAGCGTTGTTTGTGTCGCTTGAAAGTTGTCAAAGAGCAACACCTTGTCATCAACATAATCAAGATCCGTCAGCCTTCCACCAGGTAGGAGATCCATACCAGTATCTTGTGACTGCCGGAGACAGTCCTCCATTATTTCGTCCATGACGAAATCAAACAAAAATGGTGAAAGGGGACAGCCTTGATGAACGCTGCTCCTGGTGCTGAAACTGTCAGACAGCTCACCGTAAACCCTGACCTGAGCCGAAGTATGTGTGGTCGGTATACTCCTGCGTTTAAGCGACTCTAAAAGTGTAGATCAATTCACCGAATAGAACGCACCTTTATAGTCGAGGAATACGGCGAGTGTTGACTGTCGGTACACATGACGCTGCTCCACAATTTGACGAAGGGTAAAAATATGATCTATACATCCCCGGCCATGGCGAACCCCTACCTGTTCTTCTCTAATATTTACCTCTTGAACTGCAGTGAGCCTATGAAGTATAATGGATGCTAAACCCTAGAAATGACTGGGGTCAAACTAATTCCTCTGTGGTTTTCGCAAGAGCTCCTGATACCTTTCTTGAATATAGGAACTATTATCGCATGACCCCAGCACGGAGGGATGGTCTCCGTCATCCACACAACTTGAAACAGCTAATTCAAGGCCTCAACTAACACCTCTCCACCTTCCTTAAAAAGTACTGGCACTAGATCATTTGGACGAGCAGTCTTATTACGATTGAGAGCCGAGATGCAATTGCGAACCTCAGTTTCAGTGGTTGGTTCTTAATCTACCGACCAGGGCTTTACATCAGAAGTTTGTGGTGGCAGCACGGCAGAAGCAGGAGGCCAGCTAAGTTGACTCTCAAAGTGTTCAGCCCAACGCTCCAGCCTTTTGGACTGTGTGTGTAGTGTAATTCGTAAACATGGTGGTTTGAGCATCCACCAACAGATAAAAAAGCGCAACGTTAGTCAACTGGAGGTAGGTCAAAGTAGTATTTTGAATTTTTTTTGCCAGGGATGGTGTACAGGCCGAATTCAATAGATCTTGTCAGGACTGTCTCACGTGGTGATATTCTTGCGTCCGTGATTTGTCATGTCCAGTCCCATTCAGTTGAAGTGACCCAATTGACTGAGTGCGTAAGTGTGACTGTGCGTTTGGAGGTGGAAAGGAGTATTGGAACTGATGACTGAGTTTGCGTACGTGTGCAGGTGGTGGCGATGGGCATTACTTATAGAAAACTTTAAGAATTGTGTGACACGGGACGCGCCAATAAGAGGTTGAGACAACGGGTACAGGCACCCTCAGTTTATCCATTCAAAATGTGGAACGATTTCATTGGTATCGTCACCAAACGTCCAGTGTTTTTAGGGGCAAGTAAGTAGTAAAATGGCTGCTCCTAAAGTAGGTCACACATACTAGATCAGAGTACTTAGCCACAATTCTTTTACCTATTCGTTTGGCTCAAACGGCTTCGTTGAATCAACGTGACTCTGTGTCAGAACAGAAACAGCTATGTCTCTTCAATATCGACATTGTCAGCTTCGTGGAATAGAATTTCACGACCGGCACGTTGGTATGTTAATTCTCTTGGGAAGTATGGAAATAGCCATTCATGAATAAATAATTTAAAATTCAGCCGGGTGCCTGGAGTTAGATGTGTGACACTAGACATGGAATCCGCTTTTGCATCCAAAAGTGCCTCCTTTTCACAGTGAACGATTTTATGTAATCAGAATGAACATAAATCCCCAGAACAGTCTAGAAGTAGCTTTCAATGTATTTGAGCTGTTCCATCGTCATTCCGCCGCATTGATTGGTAGTATAGTAACCTCAGCCACTAGTTTTACTAACTGTGCTTCAGTCTTCCGACCTCAGAATGCTTGTAGATCATCAGGCCTCATATACATATATATGCAATTAATAAGTAGTTTCACCGATTAATTATTTTAGAAGAGACCCAATTTTGAAAAGTCAGGACTTCGACTGGATTCGAACCAGCGAGAGAAACACTATGCCTAAAACCTGCAAGCGCTGTACCAGCTGAGCTAAGAAGTCATGCCAGGAGCTCAGAAATTTCACATTCTATGCTCATCAATGGCGTTGTTGGATTCCTGCGTGAACTAATCGAGAAATCCTGCCAGGGCAGTCGATGCCCTGGATCATTTGGTGGATTTCATATGATACAGTGGGACAGGTGGGTAATCGAGTCCAACCAGAGCTGTTAAACACCTGAAATGTGAGCAGCAGTGTAGAGAATATGAACAACAGTGTATGAAACACTAAATAAATATGAAAAGGAGATCATCAGTAACTCCCTTATTAACCTAAAGGTCGGTAAATTTGGAAACGACTGGAAAATGTTCGCATTACACTTGTCCAGAAAAAGAAACAACTAAAATTCGGTGCTGACAGTGGACCCTTCTCATAGATGAGACAAAACTAGCCTATCAAACAAACCGGTGTGCCTCACACTCATTGGCTTTCATTATCCATAATATTTCCTCCTTGTTGCAGCTGTCCAATGTTGGTTCGGAAAAGTGGCCTGTTCACAAAGAAGATATCAACAGGCTTGTTGTGTTTGACCACCGTTGTCTCCGCCAATTGGCCCATATTAGGTGGACTGATCGCGTGAGCAATATGGCAGTTCGCCGGCGCGTATTCCGGAACACTCGGGATGCGCCATCAATTGGTCAACTAATTTCGGTGCACAGCTTGCGATGGTTGGGTCACGTACTCCGTATGTCATCTGATCGTTTACCGTACCGGGCATTATATGCTGAGGCCACCAACAATTGGGTCAAACCACGTGGTGGTCAAGCAACAACGTGGTCACAAAATATGAAGACCTTGACTGCTCCATTGAGCAACGTAAGTATATGTCGCCTGCCTGGCTGGGGTCCTCGTGGTCACTCAAACCGCTGGTTAGAGACGCTATCCGAGATGGCGATGTGTCGCAGTCAGTGGCATACCTGTATCCATACCATT